GCAGCTGGGCACTCCAGGTTATTGGAGGTCAGTGTGATTTAGTGAGACATGACTCTCGCCAGCCCCTCCTAGCCACCCCCAACCCATGTAGTGAGGAACTCACTACTTAAATGCCTACGAAAAGAGACATGCAGGCTGCTCCTTTGCTCAGATTTTATATCTAGATTGAAATACGGATATCTTTGTATATTGTGTGATATATGCCCTCCAGATGTATTCATACCACTGGAGTTATCATATACTGTAACTGAATACGTTCTGGATTGGATAATGTGTCTTGCTAAAAAACAGCTAAAAATGTTATATTGTAATTGTATTAAAATTATTTATTTTCAGTAGGACACACTACTAAATCTGTGTATCTTTCTGCTATTTGGTAGTTTTTGTTCTAATTTATTCAGGAATATTAACAAATATGGAGGGCATTGTATCTGTAGTATACACGTACTGTACACGTATCATGTGTCATACAGTATACATGTAATGTTGCAGACTTGTGTATAATATAGAATAGTAACTTTTGGAATTTATAGTCTACATTTGAATTAAGTTGATTTCATCAGCCACATATGACTGTCCTTCAAATGAAATGAAACAATATCTATAAGAAGGCAGATTGGGTCATGGTTACTACAGAACACAAACATGAACTCTTATGTGTTCTACAAAAAAAAACCTTGTTCCATATCTATGCAACTTCTAGGCTGATTGAATCACAATTTGGTACAGGTACATTAGGAGAGGATTCCTATCAAAGTATTTTAAGACAAACTTGTCTCACTGAAAACTTTGTCCACCATGAGTCAATCAACTGGTTGGAAAAGCACATTCTGTAATGTTAACTCTGTAAAGCAGTCTCTGTAGCACTCAGAGGCTGTTTGGTCTTCTACTGTAAGTGCAAAATCAGTAAATGCCTTTTGTTTCCTGCAGGAGCCCTGTTTTATTTGTATCAGTACAGGTAACAAAACACGCTGAAACCAAAATGGCCACCTACCTACTGTATTTTGTTCTCACAGCTCAGACGGCTTCTGTCTTGGGAACTGCTGCACTAATTGATTTGAAAATTGGCATATTTCCATACAAATAGGATTTGCACTTGCACTGTTTAGAACAAAACTTTTTATTCCCTCAATACGTTATCATGGGCACTGCAAAATGCATCCCATAATTGATGCCCTTCATCACGAGCTTGGACAATTATCTCCTTTAATACATTCTATCAAGATTTATCAAACTGATCACTAAATGCATGACTGCAATTTTGTGCAAAAACTGCATATAACCCATACCTTTAAGAGCTCCATGGACAACTGTGTAATTTAAAAAAATATATACATTTATTTTTAAATAAATTCAGATTTGGTCAGTATACTTCAAGTGATTACTCAATAAGCATATGATGAGTTCCTTAACCTCAGATGTAAACTGTCTCATATTTCCTTGGAGACTACAGACAAAGTCAAGAAGAAAAACCCTATATGCAGTAGTAGAGAAATATCTTTCTCAAGACCTCTGAGCTTTCCTAAAGGCCAAATACAAAATAACTTTGCTCCTTCCTTTTGCACTTTAATTTAAGTAGTGAAATGCAAAACTTGGAAATGGTTATGTTTATTCTGAGACACATATATGAAACCATATGTGCTTAATTAAAAAATGCCAATATCCATGTGATCTGTCAACTGAGGATTGAGTGGTGGATTTACAATGTACCATCCTGTGTACTAGCAATACAGTTAAGTGCAACTGGAAGTTGTAGAGAGACACTCAGGACAATAAAATGACAGACTTCTTACTCCTTGTTTGAATGCTTGTCTTGTATTGTCTAAGATGTTCTTACTGAGAGAGAAAATGCAACTTGGACCCAGATTGTATTAATATATAATACTCTACCAAAAGATTAGACAGTACCCCTATTGCATTATTAATGCATAGATGCAGCTTTGCACAATATACAGTATGATATTGCCTGATACTGCCTGTAAACCTTTGTGGTTCTCTGGTTTATCACTTTAGTTAAGTGTTGCCTTGACTAATGCACTAAAGGTTCATACACTGACAAATATGCTTCCTAAGAGGCCATTTACATACTGTACAGTAACATCAGACACTTTAATATAGTACTGCTCATTGAGAAAAGGCCAGGTCTGCTACTACTTTACAGTCCTGAGAAATCATAAGGCACACCATGAGTTGGGCTATTCCCTCTGCTTTGGACAGTATGGGTCACTTTAAGGAACATACAATTCTCTACCATTCTCATGCCTTAGTAGGAGAGTGTATACAGTAGTTAATGTAATTGACTAGTCACAAAATATTAGAACCATGAAATTGTGGACTCATGGCTTGTGTCAACTCCCATGCAGATGCAGTAAAGCCCAGAAACCAATGATGTGCCTGGAAATATCCTTGTCATAATAAGCTTTAGTTGCTCTCTGCCAGTCTTTCTAGTAACAGAATCGTAATTAAAGATGCTAACTAACTCTTGCAAGGCTGGCTTTTCCTATTACTGCATATTGGAAAACAATTTGCCATGGGAGTTTTATTATCAGAAATATTTTTACCAGATTCAGCCATTTTTTTGGAAAATCTGTTAGAATGAGTTAAGACTGAATCGGAAATGGTCCTGAAACTTTTGTTTCCCAGAACAAAACCTGCTGAAAGAGTAAGAAAAAGATATAGAAAAACTTTTCTGAGTAATCAAGGATACTTAAATAACCAAATGAAACTTTGACCAAGGAAACAGAAATAGATGTGTGTGAAAAGTTATGCTGTCCTTTGAAATTTGATGAGTCATATACAGTTCCTCTCTTTGACTCTATTAGAAGGAATAACTAGTCAGCTTACAGTAACCGTGTTCTTTATTTCCTGGTTCTCCAAATTTGCAAAGTGTGTTTTTTTTTAATCTGAAAGAAAGGTTCTTACTCACAAAATCCTGAAGTTGTCATGGACCTAATAAATAGTTTTTGTTCATTTGAAAAATTTCCTTAGGGTTGCAGATTTCATGGAATTTTAATGCAATTTCAGAATCTCTCAGATGGTTCATAATGGATTCAGTTACCAGACACCACAAAGTGTCTTTCCTACATTTACTGAAGCAGTATCACCTCTTCTCCTTTAGTTTAACCTACTACCTTTGTTGAAGTCATAGTGAAATATTCATTCTTAAATTATCTGTGTTTTAATTTTTTTTACCAAACAATTCTACTTTCTTACTTATACACCTTTGGACATTTAATATGCTTTATTATTGTGTGCTGAATCTGTGTTTTTTTAGCTTCACGCAATTTAATTTTGAAACTTGATTACTGCACTGATCATTTTATAATCTCTTCTGCTCATAATCTTACTTTTTCTTTTTTTAGCGTAATAGGACTCATTTCAATACCATCTAAAATTCCAGGGGATTGCGTCATTGGAACAATAAACCCTATTAAAGTGTCACAATATGTTGTGAAGTGCTTTCAGTGCTCTGAGTGCATGAAAAACTGTGATTGGGTTTCAAAATTAATATTATCCAAACTATAATGCAAATAAAAGACTGTTGATGTTAGAGTGTGGAGATGTGCCCGAGTGTGAACTGCAAAAAAAACAGGTAGTGGGGAATTAACCTCTGCTTTTTCCATTTTTGTAGACCTAAATGATTTACTGACAACAATCAATTCAACATCAACACCTCAAATGCTTGCAGATATACACTTGCTTTAATACAGCAACTGCAGGACACAGCAAGAAAGTAGCATCTATCTGTGCATGATTAAAAACCACACGCTTTTGCACTCTGAAGCAATTCATCCACAGTGTCCCCCATTAAACATTTTTCAATTTCATTTTTGCTTTATAGCTAGACTTTAAAAACTGCTTATTACAGAGTACTTTATCACAACCCTTTCCACTTGCTACGTTTAACTGCTAGTTCCTATCTCGTGCACCGAAATGCGTTGAGCACTGAGCTTTAACTCCCCGTGCTTAACATCCTCAAGAAATGGTATTAGTCATTTACCCCTTAAATGTTCATTTCGTAGAGTCAATCACTGTGAATATCATAAATGATTGTTCGCTATTAAGTATAAATTAATGTGGATGTTCATTATTTGTAGTCTTTATTTAGTCTACATTAAAATCTAAGGAAGGAAGATGGGAAACATCCATGTTCACTCTACCTCCTAACATTTTCAAAGAGTAAAAGAAAACGCTAACTAGAGCAGCGGCAATATTTCCTCGTAAATAATCATACTGCGGAACAAGCTAAAGTGTGATTCCCTGGAGTATAGTTGTGAAAGTTTGCAGTGTTTCACTTGAAGCATACAAAAACTCATCGGGCAATATAAGCAATTCTGACGGCAAATGTAGGATGAGTTAAATGCTTGCAGATGTTGTATAGGACACATGTACGCTTAACCAGTCTTTTATACATAATTTATGAATTAACCTATAATATATTTTTATTTAAAGGTCTTGCCCATGTTATTTGATTATTGTTTTTTTTCTCGTGAGCAAAGCATCGAGTTACCGTATGTACTGTAACTGATGAACGTCCTTTGTAAACACAGTTTGGGTTCAACATGAAGAGGAAGTTGGAAGACTAAAGCGAAAGTTTTCTCTGTATTTAATACGTCTGGTGCTTTTCAGGCTCAGCAGAAGACGGAGAATAGGCAAGCTGAGAAGCTCGCGTCACGAAGGTACTGTTACAAGCTAATCTGTCATTATTTGCTGGTGATGTCGTTAATGTATGCTGCATATGGTCACTGTGTCTTGCCTAGGTTTAGCGTTATTACTACTGTAGCTTAATTATGACACTTTCTGGTACCAGATAAAAAAACGTGACACTAAGGTTTATTACTAACTCTGTTCAGCGATGTCTTCATTCTCGTGGACAATATGATGAAAGAGAAATATTAAACATATTTTCTAGTAATTACGGTAAAGTACTGTATAAGTAGTGAATTACACCTTAGATATTTGTCAGTGGTCTTTAGACTTCTGAATGTATTGCTCCTTTCTCAGAAACGCAGTACCGTTGTGCTGTATAGTTCGGACCTAATTGTTTTACTTTATTATGGGCTACGTGAGGGTTACATTAAAATACTCAGTTAATTAGAAGTGAGTGTTAAACGGGTGCGTTGACAATATTAGAAACAGCAACAATTACTTTGAATAATAACAGTCCGTTGAGGAACGTCAACATTTCACCGTTTCCGATATACAGTACCAATAGCGCTTTGCAATGAGTGTTGTTGGTTGGTTCCAGCTGCAGTTTTCCACCAAACTACATTTTTATAAACTACAGTTAAGTGTAGTGATTGTAGTATTCAACGCAAAAAAACTGTTACCAAACTGATCGGATTAATAATCCTGTATGATTTTACCGCTTCTTCTCTTGCCATTAAGATCCCACCTACACTTAAAAGAAGCAGTTTTAATTTCAAAGCTAAAATGCCAAAGGTTGTCTGAGTGCAAATTTTCGTACTTTGCACGGAAAATAAGTATATTATATAGCGAATACGGGACTTCAGAAGGTAAGCTACCCACCCATACGTGGGTGTAGTTTTACAAGATAAATGTACTGTAGGTGTTATTCGCATTATATATTGTATAAGGCGCGGGGCAAGCCATTGAAGGCGTTTACAAGAATCCACTATGATGAAATGCTATGTACTACCCACTTATTTGTTTCAGTTTGACAGTCCTGGTATAATGTTATATTCCGTTGAATAAGTCATGCACTATTTTGCTGACAACGGTGAGTGCCAAAGTAATGGGTGAAAATAAATCTGTCAATCGTTCGATAGCTGTATATAACAAAAATGAATGACATTTCACTGTTGCATTTTACGTGGGTTGATGAACCGAAGTAATCCTGTGTGGGCAGATTTGATACATCGTACCAAAGGGAAAAGTATCGTGTTTTTGATTCTTCCTTTCCGTTTACTTATAACACATTAATGAATTAACTTTTGACATAGTTCGCGGTTTTAGTGCCAATTTCTGCTCTTCTTCTCAACATATATATTCTACTGTAGTTTAGGTGGGTAGCTGCGTCTGCATGCGTAGGCTGCAAAGGAACAAGTAATAGGTTTATTCCATGCTGAAAAAAAGAAGAAAGAGAACTTCTTCAACGTTGTGTTTCGTTGTGTTCTCTTTCTTCTTTTTTTCAGCATGGAATAAACCTATTACTTGTTCCTATATACTGTATACTGTTACTGAATTTAAAGCGTGTTTTGCGGGAAATATTGACAAGGCTTGTGTGCTTAGATCATTGTATAGTTTTCTACTTCAATCACTACAGTTTATTTATCATCACAATTTTAGATTACTTTAAACCTTTGTTTGTCCAGCTGATCATACCTATGTGTATATAATCCTGTGAATCAAACTTTTCTTCAGTCTTCCAGTTTTTCCGATTATTACTGTATGTGTTAACTGTTTCTTAGGTTTGGAAATGCATACTGTATGTATAGTGCAGTCCATAAGTATTTGGAAATTTAAGTGACACAATTTGTGTTGTTTTGGTTCGGTACTCCAGCATATTGGATTTTAAATGAAACAATCACTATGAGGTTAAAGTGCAGAATGTCAGCTTTAATTAGAGGGTATTTACATCTACAGTATATTGGGTGAACCATATAGGAATTACATAGTCCCCCCAATTCATGGGACCAAAAGTAATTGGACACATTTATTATCCATACTTTTCTCTTTCCATCACTCTGGTACAGGTTAATCTTCGTCTCATCTGTCCATAAGGCTTTGTCCCAGATCTCTTGATGCTTTTTTATGTACTATTTTGCAAACTATAACCTGTCCTTTCTGTGGCCTTTCTTACCAGTGGTTTGCATCTTGTGGTGAACCCTCTGAGATGATGCTGGTGTATTCTTCACTTTATGGTAGTCTTTCACACATCTATGCCTACATCCTGGAGAGTGTTCCAAATCTGTTCAACAGTTATAAAGGTGTTTTACTTCACGATTGAAAGTATTCTTCGGTCTTCCGTAGTCTACCAGGTTGTTTGCTATGGCTAAGCTCACCATTGCGTTCTTGCTTCTTTTTCAGCCTCATGCCGGCCCGCTTTAATGGCTTTAACACTTCTTTGGTCCTCATGTTGAGAGACAACAGCAACAAACTCCAGATGCAAATGCCGCATCTAGAATCACCTCTAGACCTTTTGTTAGCTCTCTTGTGCATGAACTAACGATGCAACAACACATAGCCAATGAGCAGCCAATTGTCCAATTACTCTTAGTCCCCTAAAATGGACTTAATCCCCTAAAATAAGACTGTGTATATAAAGGGCTGTATTTCCTATATGGTTCACCCAATATAAACATAAATACCCTCGAATTAAAGCTGATATTCTGCACTTTAACCTCATAGTCATTGTTTCTTTTTTAATCCAACATGCTGGAGTAGAGAGCCAAAACACCACAATTTGTGACACTGTCCAAATACTAACAGACTACACTGTATATGATGATTTTTTACTGTGGGTTGTATCATCAATGATTACTCATAATTGCAAAAACAGAAAATTGTGTGAAGGTGTTCATTTGTGATAGTTTTGATAGTATTCAAAATATTTTTGTTGAAAAGAGATGGATACAAGTTTGTCATATTGTTGTATGTCTCTCGTAAATAGGAATGTGACTGTTTTACAGTGTAATATGTGTTGTGGGGAAGAGAGGAATACATTGCTGTTAGGAAATGCTATTTTCATTAATTACTATATGTGAAATTAAAGTATATTAGTCTGCTGAATTTTGAGAAAGTCAGTTATGTAGGTAATGTATGTAATTATGGTTATGTAGGTACTGTATTTACAGTATACTTTCTCTTCCTCTTCTAATACACTTTTACTATTCCTACTAAACTTTTAATAATAAACAGAATGTAAGACCACATTTTTAATTGTGATGGTGTTCCACATGAAAAGGCACTACAGATGAAAACTGATTTTATGAACTAACAGAAACACACATGCATTTTCTCAGATGTCATAAATTCTCGTACTGTAGGTGTTCAAGACACTATGTCATGTATCCCGTTATAAAGATTCCTAATTGGTTCTTTTTGGGTTGAGTAAGTGGTGACTTAATTCTACATTTTTGATTTGTGAAGGCATTATAATTTATGATATCATCTTCCTTAAACACGTTTGTGCCTTTTAAGTTAACAGGTAGTATTCTTTCCAAGAAAATTGGAATGTATTGAACTGGTCCTCTATAGTTTGTCAGTTGTGGCCTTCAGCTTTATTCACCTGTAATAAGGCCATTATAGCTCTGGAAATGTAACACAATGTATTGGCCTACCATGTTGTTTTATAAACCATGCTGTTGAATCTGACACCTTGGCTTCTTTCAGGAAATGTCTGGATAACTTTCTAACACCTTACTCTGCTCAAAAACACCTATTAATTTTTCATTTTTTTCAGAAGAAATCATAAAAAGTTTAAATTATTCTAATTATGTTCTTTTAGTTTCTAGCCGGTTGCCTTTAAGAGCTTCGTTTCAAATTGGATTAAATAGACTTTAGCAGTTGGCCTTTTCCAAATTCCATTAAAATAATTGTGAATTAAAAACTGTATTTTTTTTACTGAATAATGTTTTCTGTATTTTCAACTATTTTGTAAAGCAATGCTATTTTATAGAACATTTTTTATTTCTATTTAGATTATCCCCTTGGGATATGAAAGGTGAATGGACATCAGAACCCTGTGGATTTTCGTAACAAAAAACAAAAACTAAAATACCAAGATAAACCAAACACTTTATTAATATAAATTGATTTTGAATTTTATTCATACATTAATAAATAATACCAGAATATGCTGTTGTTTCTTCTTCTGTTGGGTTATTCAATCCGGAAATATCTTGTATTTTCTCCTCAAGCTCCATTTGTGAACATGTTAAAATGTTCTGAAATGTTAAAGTCAATGGTTAAAAGAAATGTTAAAGTCAATGGTTGAAACATGTGTGTATTTTTGTCTATATTATACAATATATTAATTATGAATGGCTCTAATTACTGATTACCTACAGAGAACCTAACAAAATTATATTAATTTTATTATCTGCAGAGAATCTAATAGTTTGAAATCCCATGGAAAACATCCTACTGGTATCCCATAAAGTTTTGGAATAGGATTTCAATAGCATTTCCTACTAAAATTTTGTTTATTATCAACAATAGGAATTCCTTTGGAATCCAACAGAACATTCATTTGGAATCTACAGAAATCTATAGGATTTCCAGTAGTGTTTCTGACTCAATTACTTCTGTGAGATCAAATATCATATTTTTTTTCTCCATTTTGTGCTACATGCACTCCACAGCAGGTTAAGAACGTTATATTCAACAAAACACTGGATGTTACCTTGGCTGGACACATTTGTACAACCTTAAATGGTTACTTTGCAATTTTGAAACAAGTAATGATAATTATGTAGCATAACAAAGCTTTCTTTTTTTGATCACAAGCTGCTTAATATGCTATAGAAATATTTATGAAAATGCAAACCATTCAAAATGATGGGGTGCAAGATTTGTGATTAATAGATGTGCAAATGATGTAATTTTTTTTCTGACTCATACAAATTTGACAGATTAATTGTATGCTTTGTAAAGTTTCATTTTATTTGTTTTCAGGAGAAATGGATAACTCACTCCTTATTATATTTCAAGTTGCGATGTGGCCTATGTTTCCAGGTATGAGTTTTGTTGTTTTACTTTTTATAAGACTTGTGGAAAATGTTAAAAGTTGTTATTATCAAAAGAAATAAGATCTACAGCTAAGAGCTACAGGCTTGGCCTGTTTTATTTTTTTGGTGAGCAGGTCCACAGATTTACTGCTACTTATCTATTTATCATTGCAACTTTCACATAACATCACATACTGTGTTTCCTGCTGTAGGAACTCCTGCTATAGTGTTTATAATTTCTATAGTCAGGTATACCGGACATTCTAGATATTTGTCTCCATTTTGTTGTGTGTAGGCATAATGAACTACTGTATAATGAAGTGGCAGCTTAATTCAGTTCTAATGGAATCTGACAGTAAAGTATGATTATCTGGTGCCCATAATACATGTTGAAAATGAACAGCAATGCTCATTAAAAGGTCTAAATGAGACTGTATGTCGGATCATTATTAATTGGAATGATATTTAATTTGACCTTTTTTTAATCCATTGTTAAACCTGGACTACAAATGCAAGATGGCAAATGAGAGTGCCTACATTTTTCAATTGAAGAACATTTGAAGAGCTTAAAACTTTTTTAGGAACATCCCAAAGTATATATCAGGGTGTTCAATCCCCTGGTTATGGAGAGCTAATCCAACAGGTCTTTACCAGCCATGCTTATATCATCAATGTGTAAAAGTGGCAAGACTTAGATTCTGAGACTTGACTCTCATGAGTAAATTAAGTAAGTTATTTAAATCAATTCAGTCTGGAACTGTAGTCTGTACATTAGTGTCTTCAACCATCTTGTGCCTTATGGAACACATATAGTGTGTTTATAGTTAGTGTAGAACAATAGATTATTGTAGAGTACTAGTTATTGCTTTATAATTAAAAGATTATGGCTTTGAGTCCTGGGTTGTGCTGTTGTACACCTTTGTAAAGAATTCACTTATACTACTAATATTTGAATCAATGAAATTAAATTAAATAAGTTTGATTGATTGACATTATTTTAGATATTAATTAGCCTGCAGCCCAACTTTGGAAGAAGCAGTTAGAAATTTAATGGATGGATTACTTGTTAATATAATACTATATTTTGCCATTGGAAAAGTTGTTCAAGTACATTTTGTAAAGTAACATTTAATGGTGTATGTACCAAAAGTATGATTTTTTTCTGTTTTTCCAGCTCTTTTCACTGTGGATATGACTGAGTCTTCCTTTCTGGCTGAGTTTAGGGGGAACGTCACTATGGAGTGTCGATTCCCTACAGGGGGTGGCGAGACCCTGTCCAGCCTCAGAGTCTACTGGCACCGCATCCTGCCTGAGCCTCTCCTGGAAGTGTACAAGCTGGAGAGCGGAAAGGAGGACCTGAGCACCCAGCACCCCAGGTATAAAGGCAGAGTGAACCTGCAGAAGGACAGGCTGAAGCAGGGCCAGGCTGTCCTACAGATGTCCAATCTCACCATCTCTGACTCTGGGAAGTACAGGTGCATTGTTGAACAGGGAGGAGCTGACTATAAAGAGGCCACCCTCAATGTGAGAGGTGAGTTACATATATTTGCATTTTTTATTATATGTCAATTGCTAACAGTAATAAATCCTAGATGTGCCAAATGCTTCCAGTGCTTCAGACCTTAGACAATCAAACTTTCTACACGAGGAGAGAAGTGAGAGACTGATTATCCTTCTCTGTGCAAACACATTGGCTTGCATTCAAATGACTTGTGATTTGATCTGTAAATTACTTGTAAATTATCAGGAACACCAGCCCTGTGTCATGAATCAAAGATGCACATCACACATTAGGACATAGAAGTAAATCACATTCATACTCCCATATACTGTAGGTCTGGCCCAGTTCTTGTGAAAAATATTTCACAGAAACATCCCAAAAATATGACAGATAACTGATGTCTGGTTAGTTTTTGCTGTTTCTTTTATGTAAAAAAGTCCCAATAATAAAAAGGTTACAGGACACTGTACACATACTGTACATGTGATATGTATTTCAGAACAAGGAAAATAATTAAGTTAAGGAGATGAAAACGATTCCAGAACCTCTACTACCATAATAAAACCCTAAACAGAAACACATACCTTCTTAATGAATAAAAATATGTGCTAATTGCATAGCTGAGAACAGTGCCTCTTTAAAACAGTAATTGATGTTAATTATTCATGTTATTTACTGTAAGCAATCTCAAAATGCATAGTGAAATCTGAAAAGATAATGAATTATAGGTTACTTAATAGGGTACAGGTGTCCTTTTTACAATTATACTTTAGAAGGTGGCTGGAATAGACCGCATAAGAATACCCAAAACTGGCCTCCTCCTTGGTTGAAAGCTTTACACCTGCAGAGGTGTGTGTATTTTCACACTAAGCAGCTCTGGCTACTGACTCTGTTAAATTTTTCAACCAATATTTTGATGCCAGATAATACTACTCTATAACATTTGTTTTCAAAGCCTTGAATAAACCTCTCATTACCTGTGATAAATGCCTAAATTTCTTATAGGTATTTTTATTCCATGTAGTTTTATCTTGTTAAATCTTACAAGGTCTGTAAGAGGCCCAGGATGAATAAATGAATATCTGTGAACAGATTGTTCTTACATATTTTACTTACAAGCACCAAGTTAAACTCAAATCTCTTAAAAGCTCTCCTCACTTATAATATTTCTTACTTTAATGTAGTTAGAACATGCATCCTTTTGTCTTTCAGCTGCCTATACACCTATAAAAACAGACATACGTCGAACCCCAGATGATGAGAAGGTGGAACTGACCTGCGAGTCAGAAGGCTACCCCTTGGCCAAGGTGATCTGGTCAGATGCAAGTGGTCTGAACCTCACCTCAAATGCCAATGAAAGCATATTCTTGCTCCCTGATCAACGGTACCACATAAAGAGCTGTGTCATTGTAAACAATACCGTAAATAACACGTACACCTGCACTTTCTGGAACGAGAGTATGATTAACTACGCAACGAATCTTACTATTCCAGGTATGATAGCAATCCCTTACATCTATTGTTCCCATATTCTTCAAAAACAAACATCTGGCAAGAGCTCCTTTAGTGTTTATTACATTGCTCAATTCATAGTAGATGCTTTGTGTGTGTTGCACAGACCTATTTAGACACCTTTTCCAAGGGACACTTTGAGACAGCTGAATATTTCAAAAGTACCCTTACACATAAAATAAAACCACTGTTAATTAAAAGTTTAGTTTATTTAGTATTAGTTAATAACAAATTAAATAATAAGCTTTATTTGGTTATGAAATTCCCACTTAAATTATATAACATATCATGATAGAAAGTAGGAGGTTACACCCTAATACTTTTCTAGCAATGTCATTTCTGAAATATTTTGTAGGCTGGGCTGGGATCTGACATGAAATAGGAATAGTTGTGTGGAGTGATGCAGGTACAACAGTATATCTGTACATTACCAATTGCCCCATACAAATTTAATTTATCAGAGGAAAGTCAAGATTAATATTCTTGATTAAATTAGGCATGTGAGGACAGGGAAAACCTTAACAAAACAAGAAGAAGAAAAGCTGTTTTAAAAACAATCAATACTATGAGCTGCATGCATATAGTGTTATTAGATGAAAGGACAGTATTGTTTTAAATGTTCTTCTGGAAAACCTGTTTCTCCTGAGCCATGACATCAAAAAGAGAAGTCACATATCTCTCCTGTCTGCAAACAAGGATGGAATTAGCATAGAAAATTCATGTGAAATCATTTAACATTTCCGTAAAACTAAATTTAGAAATGGGAATGATGTTTTAGAATTCTTCTGATATCCTTGTTCTATACACTACACCATAAATCCATCATGTGCCTTAACGTGGAGTGCATTTGTTTAAAAAAAAAATAGAAAAATCTTGAACCTGTTATTATGTTGGCCTCTGTTTAATTTGCCAGTTATCCATCGGAACTTGCTGTCGCAGGAATACAGTCATGTGTTAAAACTTTGTATCTGCAAACTATTATCATTTAAGGCAAGTAAGCAGAGATGGTTTTTCTCATAGTGAAGTTTCAGAACACAGACAGCAGACAGTTTATATTTATGCAGGAGCGCAGTGTCACTATTAGATACAGGGATCTCCTAGTCTATTCTGCAACACCAACCCAACCCTTGTGCTTTTTTGGTAACTTTTCATAATCTCTGAGACCTACTTGCAGCAAACAGTAGGTGGAATGATCAAGCTTGGGTCTGCAGGGCATGATGTCTTTCCTCATCTCCTGGCCTTTTCTAATATGGGTGAGCTAGTCAAGACCCCCTCCACCCTAATAGTGATATTTAGTCACCTGAACTTGTGAGCACAGATATCCTCTGCAGAAGCATCAGTGATTCAGAATCTGTGAATAGAATAGATAATTTTCTAAAGGATATGTTTTGTTTCCTTTGAGAAACACAGCAATAAGCTCAAAAGTTTGGATGAATTATCCATTTTCCTGAAGCTGTTTATTTGTTTCAACTAGTATGGAAATCCAGATTACATTTGTGTGTGAAAGTACAGTATATGTGGTAAGAAAACCATTTCACCAAATTTGTGATACATATCAACAACTAATACAAGGGGAGATGAGACTCTCACTACTGCAGGTGATCCACCGCAACTTACAACAACAATACAAGCATATTAGAATTAGGTATAGATTTAGATTATTTTTAACTTTTCATCCTTGAGATGAGAGTATGTTATTCAGATAAAAAGGTGAACATTTTTTAGATTTACCTACTTATCCTTTGCAAAATTAATCGATAGACCTTAGTGAATTTTTCTCTCTTGTGTTTGCTATTTGTGTGCGTTGAAAGTGTGAATTCACATTGTGGATGATATTGCGGTCAGGGCCAGATTTAGACTATCACAGGCTCTAGGGCTAAATATTTTCAGGGAGCCCCCCCCCCCCCAAACACTCCAAACATCACTCCCAACCAACAAACATAACTGTGCCCTACATGTCATTACATTTAAAGTTCAAATCTTGTTCAAAACATTGTACAAAACAGAACTTAAGACAAGTTAGAATCATTTCTTAATAGTACAGTATTATAGGCTACTATAAGTGAAGTCTTCTTGCATACTGGCTGACATATGAATTTCGGACACTTCAAAAAACGCTTTTTACACCGCCAGAGACGGTCTTCTCAACAAACACAAAATGCATTCCTACGTTATTCCCAGAACAACAGACTCAAAACTGCCCACCCGAAATCACAAGCACCATTATAAAAAATGCAGTTAAATAATGCAAATCGCATAAAATCATCTAAAATGCAAATAGGTCTTTTACTCCTCTGTGGCGGGAGTGACAATCAGGACCATGGCTGTTAGCCTAGCTGATAAACCTAGTCAAGACAACGTAATCATTTTGAACAGTGATGAATACAAATAACAGTAGAGGTACATGTTCAGTGAGAAAAAAACAAACATCTTAGTTACCCTCAGTAAAGCTGAAAGCAACGCATGTGACCTGAACTGAACTTTTAAGAACAGTGAAAAAAACAGTTTTGAGTGCGGAGAAAGAGTTTTCGTATGTTACTGTCGAATACTGAGGCCTGTTCCTCTTACATTAGGGACATGAGGAATCGGCACGCAACTTGGTACACTTCATAAATCAAATCCAATCAAGGACAAACTGGCACCACCAGGCATTCTGGGTGAATTAACAAATGTACCCATATGCACTATACTGTAAAACACACAGCACATGCAAAATGCAACATGCAAAACAATGCATAAAAAACTGTGAGAAAACCATCTATGGAAAAACAGCTAGCTACAGACTAATGAACAAAGGCATTCTGATGCTAACACACCATCCCAACGAAATTATAGCAAGCACAATTAAGTTAGAAAACTTAACAGAGGTCGAACAGAGATGCCACGGTTGGCAAGGAAATAATAACATAATCTAAACAGGCCTAATTTAGTCTAATATTCAACTTAGCCCTCCCTTTGATGTATTTTGAGTTGCCATGTGATGTTTGGTCTACATCGCAAAGTGAATACGGCAGGGCCTGGCGTTGAATATGATAACTGTCCAGAACTGGAACAGTCCAAGCATGCTTTTTTTAAAAAACAAATGACATTTGTTATCCATGCTAAACTGATTAACTTTGGCAAGCTCGTGTGCGAGTAGCTTACTCGATGTTGCACCACAACTGGCGGGATTTAATGGTACCGGTACTTAGCGATACATGAATAAATTGCAGCAATCTATTGTCGTTTCCTAATTATACCCCAAGTGCCCCAGTGGTCCTCCCCCCTCCCGCCCCCGCACCCAGCCGGGGAGCCTCAGGCTTGAGCCCCGGTAAGCCCATGCATTAATATGTCCCTGATTGGGGTTGGTAGTGATTACTGCTTTTCACTCCTTGTGGCAGGTGCTGAGTAAAGGTTTTCCCTTTGGTTGTTGATAGATTGTGGGGCTTCCCCTTGCATTTTTCCTTAAATGGAAAAACATCATCAGTTTTTTTTTACTATATACCCACCTAATTTGGTATTTCCAGTCATATCTTTATGTTTTGGCTCACAACAATGCCCTCTGCAATGAGAAAATTCCAACTCCACCCACCCGTCAACTTTTGGACCCGTTACAAGTTTTGCAGCAACATGCAGAGGTTAAACATCAATTAGAGGAGAGGTTTGTCCCTCAGGGATGTCACCACGTTGCTGGAGATGTTGAGTACATTGCAGGGCATTTGCTTAGCTGGGAGTCAGGAGAGCTCTGGTCAGCTAGTCCCAGCCCTACTCTGATGGGTGACTTTGGCACCTCAGCTTGTGGCGGTATTGCCTCTGGTACAGTTAACCTCTGCCACGGCATGCTGGAATGAGCACGTCTGCTGGCTGAGCCCCCAGGGAGCCTCTCCCACTTGATTTTCTGTATACTGTACATGTGGAGACCCTTGAGTGTAGATTAACCTGCTCTACTTGACTCTTGCAGAGCAACACTGATTGAAACTCCCTTTTGTATTAGTTGTGTACAATTAACAGATTTAATGATTTTCAGGTGCTTGCATTTCTCTTCTATACAATCACTTTTAGAGAAGTGCTGCCTGTCTGGAATGTTCTTTTTGTGAAATTAGGTTATTTCCAGCTTGTATTAATGTCATGGAACATTTTCTGCTTAGTCACAGCTTAAGTTCCACAAATTCTAAATGAAGCTATCCAGTCTGCTGAGTAGAGTCCTAAACTGCATTTCTGAGGAATGCAGAAAACGTTAGGACACACTGAAGAACACTGATCTCATGGCTGTTTCTGTCTCTGAATTAGAAATGAGTTTTAGCTTAAATTAATTACATCTTGTTCTGTTTATTACTTGTACTGTAAATCAAAAATATTTTTGTACACTTTGTACACAGCCTTCTCTTGTTAAAGTCCTGTGCTCTTGTTTTTTCATTTTATTTACTCATCTTAATTTTGTGAACATATGGTACAACAATGTACATGATGATACTGTTATTGAATGGTTTCTACTTTCTATAATGAAAGGTGGGGAAAGTACATATTCTATAACATACAAAAAGATCTGTTAACAGGTTTCCAAAAACAAAAGATTCATTAGCAAGCTTTACTTTACACATATCATAAATATTTCATATTTAAATAAATAATACATTTAAATAAATATTTCTCATTATTGGTAATTTGATAAAATTAGAATAATCATAACATTTCACATAACATTCCATGTTTTGCCTTTCTTTGCCTCATAGATGATATGAAGAAAACTGAAGAACAATCCCCAGCAGGGAGAAAGTCTTCAACTATAGTTTGGGCAATAATGGTTGTGGCTGCAATAGTGGTGACTGTGGCTATCTTGGTAAATCAAAGGTTTAAAGGTAATTTCTGTTTATATGTAAGATCTCTTAAAAATAACAGATCAACCCTATGGTCTGAGCTGTGTTGGTTCCAGTGATAATGGGCCTGAGTTACCATTTTCACCAGGGGTTGTGGCAACACTGAATAATGAATTGCTAAACAGTGCTGCACCCATAAAGTCCTAATTACATTTGTCAGTTTTTCTAGTCTGTAACAGGGCTTTGTTAGCAAATGCTGTCATGTAATCTCTATGGGATGCTCAGTTCTAGTTTGCTAAATCTAGTACCTAAAAGTTAAGACAAACTCAGATGAGGCGAAATATAGAACATCTTGTTTCATTAACACCTCTGTAGCTCTGCTTTGCTTCAGTAAACAGTGTAGCTTTTAACCTTTTGTATTTCGTGAAGAGAAAGTTGGAGGTTCCCTGTATGCTGTGAAGCAACATATTGTATTCACCAGGGGAAGTCTATGATGGCCACAGAAGCCTTAGAAAGATTGTATGCTGTAGCCATGAAAAAAATATATATTCTGAGTATGACAATAAGTAGGACTTTTTCATTATTTTTAAGTATTGTGTAATTGTTTAACCGCATTTCTTGTTTATTAAGTAGCTTAATATGTGCTTTGACTTTGCATTTTCTATATTACTTTCAACTGCCTCTTTTGAAGACATCCCCTCTGTGGCCCATAACCTTAGGGAATTTAAAAACATGGGACTGTGGATTTCCTTTAAATTCATTTTTTTTTCAAATCTATTTTCACAGATGTAAAGGGACTCAAAAGAAGTAAGAGAAAGGAGGAAGACTTTGATGCCTTATGTATGTATGATTAAGATCGTAAGTTAAGTATGTCAGTCATATTGCTTTGTTGACAAGGGTGCAATAGGGTTGTAACGTGTAAAGTATTAGGACAATATGTGCAGTATTAACACAAATTAACAAAAATATTACAAATTGTATTGTGAAATGTAGCAATATGGTTTCAAAAAGATCAAGAATGCTTTAGCATTTGAAACCATTTGTGTTAAAATCATTCACAACTGTTAGACAGTAGATCTTTCCCAATGTTGTTGTACCTCAAAAATTGTGATTCAACAAGTATTCCAGGCTTGAAATAGTCTGAACATTGCTCTTTTATTAAACATGCTGATATAAGGTTCAGAAACATCTAAATTCAAAACTGACAAAAAAACTCCATGTGTCTTTATGAAGGTAAATAGAATGTGACAAACAAAATAAATATCAAATAATTAAAATAAACCTCAGTGGTTGGTGTAATTTGCAACATCTGAGTTCTGGTCGTGTACATAGGTTCATTATTGTCTGGCATAGTTCTGGCAAAGGATTAATAAATCAGAAGCAAATGTAAAAAAACATTTATTAACAAATATCATAATGAAACACAACATTTTACATACAGTAACATACAACATTAAACAAAAACATGTATTCCAGTTACATTGTTTTCAACACAAGGCATCTCAGAAGCCTACTTTCTACAAACCCAGACATTTCTGAGTGCTACCCTGTAACTTGAAATCTTATACAACACTTTCACAGGCCTAAAAGACAGATAAAAGAACACAATGCAGCTCTGAATCTCCCTTTCTATTACATGGATGTCCAAAAGCGAATGTGAATCTATCTTTCTATTCTAGGATTCCACAGTAAAGGAAATCACAATTTCCTAAAATAACGGATACCAATATGTCTAAAACAGGGATCCAAATGATTAGTCAGAGTCTAGTCTCACCTGGCACAAACGTAGAGCAATAGACGGGTGACTGTGTTTCTTACCTCTGTCTCTCTTCTTTCCTTTCCCTCTTTTTAATCTATGTTTCTGGACTATTGAAAACTTTAATTAACTAGAGTAAACTAGAAAATTCCCTTTCATACTCTGTGTTTTTCTGTCTGTAAATTCAACTGCAACTAAGTTAAATTTAACATTGTTTAAACCCATTGTTTCTACCCATTGTTTCTAAATTTTACAATACCCCTCCATCCCTAACAATATAAAGGTGAAATTAGGTCTTTAATAACCAAGTAGACAGGATCTCCATTAAATGTGTTATCTAAAGGACGGGTGCTCCCACAGCACAGTGTCTCTTGTCTCTGTACTGTGGCAGTGTTTTGGAAATTCTGGTGCAGGTGGAAGAGTATTACCCACTAAGCCAATAGTGCAACTTACAGCAGCTACAATACCTGGTTTTCCTTGGCAGTGTCCCATGCCAATACTGACCAGGCCTTGCTTTGCTTCTGAGATCTGTCAAATTTACACAACAATGTGGTAATGCTGCCATCAACTAATCTTTTGATTAGTCTTTTGAATGACGAATGATGAGTGATGCCTGTCTCGAATCAGTATACTGTACATCAATTATACATCACTATGTTTCCCTTGAAAGATGTACTGCATCTTTAAATAAATGCAAATAAAATCAGTGAATTTAAGTGTGCTTTAATTCCTTTCTTACTTTCTTTCACTCAGAGGGTAATGGTCCCCTGCGGCCTTCACTTTGTATGATATGTAATTGATGCTACAGGTAGTGATTTATGTGTCTGTTCAGTTGTTCACTGATTTTTATGAAAATGTATTCTTAATATAATGAAATGATATCCTTACCTGTTATGGTTAATATATTTGATATAATACGTAACTTCCTATCTGCTTCCTATCTGATTTTCCACTTCATATCAAAAGTAATCTTCTGTGGAAGTTACTGGGTGTGAGGTAGATACATTTTTTGTTTTGTTTTGAAGCTGTCGCACTTTGTCTTTTTTTTTAAAAAAATGTCAAACTCAATTTATATTGTTTTCTATACTGACTATTGAAAATATTATTTTTCTTTTAAACAGCCACTGCCCTCACCATAAATAGTGAAGTTCCAACTTCTGTTGTCACCCATGAAGAAGGTACGTCAGTTAATTTGGTATTTCAGCTGTACAGAACTGAATCCAAGCAGTTCTGTCAGACATACTTGCCTGTATGGAAAAGAAAAAAAAAATTGGTCAATATTGGATATTAGAAAGAGGCCACATCTGTAACCTGAGGTCAACAGCCCTCTCAATTATAGAAAGGTTGGACAAAAGGTTACGTAAGAGAGGTTCTGAATGATTGAGTATTGTTCTTCAGGAAACCAAAATACCAAATTAGTGTCACCCTGTGTCCTCATGACTAGAGTCACAAGTTGTTTTTATTAATTTTGTCAGCTTGATTAATGGTGCAGAATTCCTGTCACAGAGCAGTAAAAAATGATGAGGAGGAACAGTTGAAAAGCCACAAAGCATGTGATCTTCTTTTAAAAGCTGTTTTAGCTATTGCATAAATAAAAGCACTTCTAGTAAAAGGAATAGGTGGAAGGGGTTAATTTGAGGTAAAATGTGAAGTACATTACATCACATTAACTGCTAGTCTAGGATGGTCACTACAGAAAGTATACTAACAATACTGTACAACATATCTCAAAGAGCTTACAAAAATACTTTCCTAAATAAATTCCTAAATTCTGTATATATAAAACACAAACAAAAGTACACTCCTTATAGAAATGCAACAGATACTGTATATTGTTTATTGAAATAGGCCAGACCCCAGGCCCGGAGAGTGGAAGCTCAGGCCTTGTTTATCCATATTGATAAAATATCCATAAAAACATCCAGTCACATCTGTTGTGGAGACACATTAGGAAGGACCCAATAGTAGATATTGGACCTTCATTGTCATTTCATCTTCTTTGTCATTTGCCAATAAGAATAGACATTCATAGACTCACTGTGTAGGTGGGGAATACTAAACAAAAAGAGAACCAGCTTTTACTAGAAAGTATGTATTTCTAAACTATGTCGCTAAGGGAGGAATGCTGATGTTAGTCATCCAGCAGGGGAGAAGCATTTAAATAACACTGAATTATCCAAGGAAACAGTTAATGAGGATTCTGGAGCTTGAAGCATGTATAATGAAATAGAAAGTGAAATCAGATTCCTTTTATTGTGCAGTGTCTGTGGTCTGAGTTTCAGCTCCACCCTTGGATTACAATATGTAAACCCTGAAGGAATGATTATTTAACATATGAGATAAACCTTTGGGCCATCTAGACTGTTTGCAAGGATGTCATCTAGCCTTTTCTTAAAAGACGGCTTCAACATCATGGCTGCGTGACTTGCTTTATAATAAACATGCCTCACTGTATCTGAAAAATGTGGAAGGCATATACTTTGTTTCAACATTTTTCTACCCCTATCTTTAAAATACTTTCAATATTTATTTACTTACATAAACAGTAGGAGAGGTTATTCCAAAATTTTGGATAATTGCTATTTGTTTTTAGGGTTATCAGATATAATTTCTGTAATAAATACTGTATACTCTTGTGAATGCACTGTGTGAGGTAGCATGTACTATACCTTGCAGACTTGGAAGGAGAGAGAGTGAGAGATCTTTTATGCTCACAGTCCAAAGGCACAGCTTAGTCTGTAGTGGAAATAATAATAATAATACGAAGAAAAAGATGATGAATTCCTTACACTTATATACATGTAGAACTTTTCTGGACACTCTACTCAAAATTATTTTCTGGTAATGGGGACTCCCCTCCAACACCACCCATGTGCAGCATCCACCTGGATGATGCAACAGCAGCTATATTGCGCCAGTACGCCCACCACACACCAGCTATCAGTGGGCAGGAGAACAGAGTGATGAAGCCAATTCATAGATGGGGATTATTAGGAGGCCATGATTGGTAAAGACGGAAGAGACATTTGACCAGGACACTGGGGTAACACCCCTACTCTTTTTGAGAATATTTTTTCCTGGGATTTTAATGACCACAGAGAGCCAGGACCTCAGTTTTACATCTCATCCAAAGAACAGTGGCGCCTTTTTACAGTATAGTGTCCCCATCACAATACTGGGGCATTATGACCCACACAGACCGCAGGTCTCTCGTCCAGGTACTGACCAGGCTCACACCTGCTTAACTTCAGTGGGTTGCTAATTGTGAGTTGCAGGGTGACATGGCTGCTGCAAAACATGAGTGAGGGGCATCACAGTTTCTGGACAGGAGAGCTGCATTAGTTCATTCACCAGGCCCAGGTCAATAAGGAATGAGGAACAGGGAAGGCCTGCTTTACCTGGGCTGGAGGTGTTGACACCTGAAGGAATGAGACATTGCTTAGCAAGGAAACAGCATATCTTCTCCCCAGCAGCCAAGAGGGATGTGCCCAGAAAGCAGGTGGAAACCTTTTTTCTTCCAAATTGGTCTTATAATCCTCTTACTTAGCCCAGAGGAGTGACTGATTCCATGGACTACCTATTCTGACAACCTCTTTCCCTCACTCAGACTAGCTGTGCCTTATTGTACAGATTTTCCCAGTTAACAGGTCATTTAAATAATAATAAACTTTATTTTATATAGCTGCTTTAAAGGTGGCTTCTCAAAGCTCATTTTGGCTCAAGACTACACCACTGAGCCTGGAATGTCAGCCAAGATGGTGACTATCTCATGCAGCCACCTCTCTCTATCTCACACACTGACCATACAAATTGAATAAAAATGAAAAAGCCAGATACTGTCCTCAATTAATGACAAAGCAACCTGTCGTAAGTGGTGGGCTCAGCAGTGATTCTTTGGTCCTGTTTTCATCAGTTTGTTTATAAATGATATAAGCAGATATGCTCATATTAGTTGTTTCTAGCCCACCCCTTCTCCCCTTTTAAAGCCCTTATTTAATATACTTTTGCCTTGTTTTCATGCTGCTTGTAATCAAACTAAATTCTAGATTATAAAAATATCTCAACAGTAACATTAAATTTCACTCATCATAAATTAACAAAAAATATTTTAAAGATCAAAAGGTTGCATCTAATGCCATGGATCTAGGCTTCAGTGTGAAATGTAAATAAATAATGTTCATTCAGTTATATAGACAGCTACTATGGAAATCTAGCATCATATAAAATTCATCTTTCCACATACAGCGTTGTATCACTCCCATGTACATCCGGAAAGCAGTATTGGAAGCTCTGTGCAAAAACAAGCCCTTAGAGATCAGTAAGCATATCTCCTCCTGCCCAGTCTGAGGCCCTGCTTAAGTGAAAAAATATTGTAGCACTGTTTCTGAAATTGTGATACATTCTTCACTAAAAATTTTCTCTAAACTACAGTGCAAAGACTTACAGTACCAATGGTTTTGTACAACATTTTAAAATTAGGTTCTTACCCTTATGTTCTCTTTTTTATGCTCTCCTGACAGGCAACCTCAAGGCATGACAGCCTTACTGCCAATGTCACAGAAGCTGACGATAGGAGAACAGTCTCCTTGTGGAGAAACCGTCCTGGTCAATACCTCGGTTACTACTTGGACACAGGCCAAGAGCTTTGGCGCCTTCAGTCTCCATTCATGCAAACCAATTGCTGCTTCATTTGGAAGGTGCCAAGGGAGACTCTGTATGATGAAATGGCATACAGAGAACAGTGATATCAGTGCAGCCTGAGGGCATCTTTGACAGGTCCTGTTGATGGTGTGTGCATTCTAGTTGAGTACTGCCAAGAGAATGCAAAACTACAGGACTCTTTGAAAATGTTTCAAGGGGACCATCAGTGTGGAAGGGTTCTAGTCAGAGCTCGCAATGGAGGATACAGTAACTTCACAGACTGTTTGGATTCTGCACTGGAGCTCTGCAGATAGCAGATGAGCCACTAGATTACAAGAGGGAATGCTGCAAAATGCCTTATTATACATTTGCAACGGGACTTGTTTCCTGTGTAAGCTGTAGCCAATGTTGTGTTTTTATTTTGTTTGCTTTTCAGCACTTTAACTCCATGAAAACACATTGAAAAATGTGTTAGAAAGCACTTTTACCTCAGTTTGGCCTCTAACTCTTGTATTTATTATATAATTTATAAATGCAAAAAACAGTTGTGTTTTACTGCCGTACACAGTAGATTAATCTAAACCAGGCAATTGTTGCATTAAACATAACTACTGCTTTCAAAAAAGAAAGGCCATAAATGTCAGTTACCCGACTCTTTAAATGTAACTATAAAAGTTATTTTTTTGCAGATTTTCAATAGCTTTTATTGTTTGTGTAGATTTAATAGTAATTCATAAGATTTAAAGCATATTTGCTAATTGTATTGCCATCAGGATCGCTGTTACAAATCATTCAGGAAACCAGAATTTAACAAAGAATATCAAGGTCCTTCTTGAAGTTGTTGATTGTAGTTGAATTGTTTAACTTCTGTGATAAGTTCTTAAAATGTGTTATTTATTCTAAAAGGAATGAAAAAAAACTGTCTCCTGATTCAGCAAGTGAAGTCATAAATGATTAGGACAATTAATTCAGGATGATCTGGAATTTCATGAATAATGAAGTATTTAAAAAGGAGAAAATAACATGCCACTGATTAAAAGCCAAGCCACTCAGTTCTTATGTCTTATGTCACTCTATGACAGAACATCAGAGAATGAAGTGTAAAACAAATTGTTTGGACCAAATAGTATTTACCCAGCTCTGCTTAAAGAAATCATCTGAGTTTGTAGACCACTCACTAGGGGATTTCAGATGACTCTTAGGGGAGTGAATGTGTACACTGATTTCAAATAAAAGGGGACAAAATACAGCCAGAATTATAGCCCAATCAACCTAATACCAATTACATCTGAAGTTAAAAATGTAAAGAACTAAATCTGAAAGATCCAAATTAACACTGTATTCTAGAATGCAGTCAGTACAGATTTAGATTTATAAGACACAGTTAATGCACAAATAAGCCATAGTGTGCCAGAACGCTCACCACACATCAGCTGTCAGTGAGGAGGAATGCAGAGTAAAGAAGCCAATTCATAGATGGGGATTATTAGGAGGCCATGATTGGTAAGGGCCAATGGGAAATTTGGCCAGGATGCCGGGGTACACCCCTACTCTTTTCGAGAAATACCCTGGGATTTTTAATGACCACAGAGAGTCAGGACCTTGGTTTTATGTCTCATCCGAAGGATGGCGCCTGTTTACAGTATAGTGTCCCCATTACTATACTAGGGCATTAGGACCCACAAGGACCGCAGTGTGAGTACCCCCTGCTGGCCCCACTAACACCTCTTCATTTGATTTTGTCATAGCAAGTCGTGGGGGCTGTTAATAGCGCTATGACTGAGTATCTGGGGGTGTTACACTACAGAACTGACGGTAATGGGTGCGCACTGCGACTCTCTACAACTTGCTGTGATTTTCTTAAGATTATGTAAATGAAGGCTATGACTGAAAATCCTAGAAAAAGTTGTGTAGTGTGGCATTAAGATAATATGTTGTTTCTTCCATTGTGAAACAGTTCTCAATTCATGTGCACATTTTTTCTCAGTTTTCTATCACTTTGTAATTATTTATAAAACCTCTTTCCAAAGCAAAGGACACCGTACATAGTGAAAAAGAAAAAGACAAAGTACAATAGAAAGTAAAAGAAAAAATTAAACAAAAACATACAGGATAGAACATAGGTCAATCAGACATAGGCCCCAGTACAAAGGTGAGTTTTGAGTTCAGATTTTCAGAGAGTCAAAGAATTTGTCTCTGTTAGAGTCTGAGAAAGGGCATTCTGTAGCAGTGGTTCTCAAACTGTGGTACGCGTACCGGCAGTGGTGCGTGGGGTGCCGCCAGGTGGTACGCCAAATGACCCTGGAACTGTGTTGTGTGCGCTGAAAAAATCGGGACGGTTCATATTTTGTATTTTTATACGTGTCGAATACGCAGCCTACGTACTAAGATACAGTGCGCGCTAATACTTCAGTGGACACAAGAGATACTCTGTAATTCTATACCACTCTATAGGAATGTGTGCTATGGACGCAAGTGACCAATTGTATTTAAAAAAAAGCTACTGTATCTCCAGCAAATAGGGAGAAAGGAGAATGTGCGGGATTTTGGAACAATGCCAACATTGTAAACACAGGAATGCATAGAAATGCGTGCTACAAACGCTGGTAATCTTGTGAGCACAGGAAAGCGTGAAAAATGACAGAAAAATATTTAAGAACTGTTCTAAGTTAATTTGAGAAAAATACACCGAGCGTCTCCGTGTTTCTCTCCCATGCGCATGCGCATGAAATAAATATTTAAAATAAACACTGAAATAAAAACGGAAACGTGGAAAAATGCAAGCTTACGGATTGCTAAAGCAGGTAAGCCCCACACTATTATGTGTGGAGAAAAAGCTGCTGAACAGCTCGACCTGCTGCCCCCCCGAAAGACACAGTCATTCATAGAATTATTGAAATGAAGGATTATATCAAAAGTACGCTGACAGAGCGCGTTAAGATGAGCAGATGTTTTTCACTGCAATTAGATGAGTCTATAGTCGATTTGGCCAATGTGCTCGTTTACGTTAGATACGAGTTTGAGGGTACTGTACGTCCCGTGACGACTTTCTGGTCTGTAAGCTGCTACCAACAGGAACTACAGGAGAGCACGTAATTCAGCTTCTGAATGAATTTATCGAAGAAATGGCATAGACTGGATAAAATGTGTCGGAGTTTGTACAGACGGTGCTAGAGCAATGACACAGCAGTGTAGTTGCACGAATTAGAGAGGTTGCTCCAGAAATATGGTTGAAAATATGGTTTCATTGCAACATCCACCGCGAGACCTTTGCCGTCAAGAAAATGCCTGACGATTTAAAATCTGTTAGACTGTTGTGAATTGTATCAAGGTTCGAAAAATTAATTCACATCTGCTCTGCTCGACTAAACAGGCTCACCCCTCTCACTGAAATGGTGCTTTTTTATTTTTATGTGTTGTTTTTTTTCTGTAAAACACTTTGAGAAGCCACATTTTAATATAGCAATTTAGCTTCAGGGAATTTAATGTCAATCAAAGCTTTATATCATATAAACAAGAAATAAGTGATGGATCACAGGGGGAAGAGGTCTTAATGTAAACCTGAGTAACATCTGCATTACAATGAAACTGAAGACTATTTTTGTGTACACTTTCACCAAGAGGAAGCATATAAACTGTTGAAAGAATTGTGCCCTTTTGCACACCATGAATGTGTGAATCAGTCTTTTTACAAGAAACCTTATCAAGAGCTTCTTTAAGTAAGATTGATTAATTCACCCCTATCATAGGACCTGGCATGCATGACTGTGAATTTAAATCAAAAGCCATTTACAAATTAATTTGGCTGAATATTTTAAACAAAACAATGTACAATTGTACTCATTCACATAGCTTTTTATGTTACTTAAGTAATGTGGGTGTAACCTTTTCAAGAGTAGTTTTACATCTAGTATATGAATCCACAACTTTCTGGAGAAACATAACCACTGTTCCACACTGCTGCCAATCTCTGTTTTAGGACATCTGAACATCTAAAAATTCCTTCAATCCTGAAATGAGTCAGATTTCTGTAAAAAAGGCAAGGGCTACACAATTTTAAAAGCCAGAAAGCTAATTAACCAGTAGAATTTTGAATTGATCTGAATTCATGCTTGAGTTCAATAGGACAACACAGTGGTTAGCAATGTTGCAGCACTTTAAGTCCTGGGGTGCTTGTGGATTTTGTATATTCTTCTTGGTTCTCATGGGTTTAGTCTGGATACTCTTCCTCCCACCATCTAAAGACATACTCCAATGTAAAAACAATTGCCCTGATATGAGTGTATGTTTTGGTGTCTGTGCATGTTGCAATGAACTGGCTTCCCTTCCTGGCTGTGTTCCACCTTGTGACTGTTGCTTGCCAGGATAGGCTCTAGCTCCCCCTGTACTGGATAAAGCACTTGGGAAAAAAAAAAAATGAATGGACAATCAATTTGAATTAAATCAAAATTGAAAGAGGGGCCCCATGCAAAGAAAAGTGAAGCTGTACTACTGTCTTTGGGATCCTGAGAACGTAAATTGTCTCTAGGAAAGTCCATCATGCAGGTTGATCAGGTCTGTCAGGGATCTGGCAGGTAGTTCTCCAGGGATCCTGAGCATAGCTGTGAGTTCTGTGGGATGCAGAGGCAAACAATCCAAAACCATAATCCAGAAGCAAGATTGATGGGAGAATCTAGAGATCACTAAACCAGAAAGAGCCAAGACAATCCAAGAGACAAGATCAAAAGGGAAAATTTAAGTCTAAAAACCAGGAAATTCAACAAGCCAAAAACACAGACTGGAAAACACTAAAGGAGGCTTTTCAATAGCAAGGTTTTGTGCGAGGGAACTTTAAATAGTGAAGGGAGAGAGATGTGGTTGGATAATTGGTTCAGGAGTGAGAATCTGTGGAATCTGATGCATGTGAGAATGTGATAGGTTCAATTAGGAATGGGATCGTGAAACAGTGGGTTTGGGAATATAATGGCGTTTGTGAGGGAGAGTGCAGGGCGTGACAAGGTCCTAGTGGATTAATGACGTTACAATTCTTTTGATAGTCTGGGGCCTTGGCCAAGCTTCTGAGAACTGGGAGACACTGCTGACAGACAACTAGACACTAATTGTGTAAATGGAAAAGAAGCACCCACACAGTGCCCCAAAAAAGACAATGTGTTTTGCAGGTAGATTCGTCTTTCTTTTTATTTGTTCACAGACAAGCATATACTCAAGAGACATGTAGGCTGGAAAGAGGAAGGCAATTTTATGGCAAAAGGTGAAATCATAAAGTCTAATTACATTGAGTGCCAGATAATTATCTAAGAGACCTCTGAAGACCACAATCTCACAGAATTCAAACAAATGATACCCATCTATCTGAGACCCTCTGCAAATTGTAATCAGAATATTTTCTTCTGTTTTTTTGAATAACGTTACTCTTGTAATTCTCTTTTTAAATAAAAAAATGCCTTTTTAATACTAGTAAAATTACGTTTTTAAAATTAGGAAAAAATTGTCCTATGAAATAATCATTACATATATCATCAAGGGTTTTTGGTCCTGTTGTTTTATTAAACGAAGTTCATTAAACTTTACTATTTTAATTCTCACTTCAGTTTTTGCTTGGAAATAACAAGATACTGTAAAGTGTACTGTGACTACCACAGGCATGTTTAAAAGGGACGTTAGGAAGAGGGTCACCATTGCATTTTTAATCAGAGATAAGTGAAATGGAGCTACAGATGACAACAATATGGACAACCTTCATAGCTTTGCCTTAAGGATTAGCAAATATTCTTGAAAGTTGTTTATGTTCTTTATGTAAAAACTCTAAATGTGTACTTCATAGCAATCAATGTAGCTTTGTAGTTTTTAGACAAAGAAAAGAGAGATAGCAAGAAAATTCAATCGTAGTTGAGGAGTAATTTGTAAACAGTAATCTTTCTCTACAAAAATAAATATAATTTAGAAAAAGAATTAAACACAGTAATGTTTTTATTTGCCATATTCTGTTGGATTCTGATGCACTAATAAAGTACTATTAAAACCTTGCATTTTAAAATTAATGACTACATCTGTT